AAAAAAAGAAAAAGAAAAGAAATACATGTGTTCTTAAAACCATTTGTATATTTTCATTTGTAGACCACACTGTAGCTAATTATTGTTATTAAATCTTAAGATTTAAGTATATAAAATAAGTATCAGGCTGGGCACAGTGGCTCACACCTGTAATCTCAGCACTTTGGGAGGCCGAGGTGGGTAGATCACGAGGTCAGGAGATCGAGACCATCCTGGCTAACACGGTGAAAACCCATCTCTACTAAAAATACAAAAAATTAGCCGGGTGTGGTGGCACGCACCTGTAAGTCCCAGCTACTCAGGAGGCTGAGACAGGAGAATCGTTTGAACCTGGGAGGTGGAGGTTGCAGTGAGCCGAGATCGTGCCACTGCATTCCAGCCTGGGCGACAGAGCAAGACTCCATCTCAAAAAAAAAAAGAGATACCTCAGTTACGTTATCAGTAAAAGGGCATTGCAAATATTCTTTTAAATAAAAATTTGCATTCTATATGTTATAAAATACAGAGGATATTAAAAATAAATTTTATCCATGTTTTGGCAATTTCCTTCTTTTAATTGTTTGCATATTGAAGCACAAATGCTAAACATAAGTCAGAATGGAAGAATATTTAAAATAATGACTGTGTTTATATCTGATTTATTTCAGATAGATTACCCAAAGTGCATCTTGCCAGGATATCTTCCACTTGAAGATTGACATTTTATTTCTTTTTTGATCTTTATTGTTCCTGTCTTCCACCTCTCAGTGGGTATAGCTCTCTGGTCTGTAGAATGGGACAGTGATCTGGTTTCCGGATTGATAAGTGGGGTATACCTCCTAGTCTTCAATGATTACCTGTAGAAGGTGGAGAAGTTACTGGATATGTTTAATAATATCTCATTACGTTCTCTTTTTTTTTTTTTTTTTTTAACGACAGAGTCTTAACTCTGTTGCTCAAGCTGGAGTGCAGTGGTGCGACCTCAGCTCACTGCAATCTCCACTTCTGGGTTCAAGCGATTCTCCTGAGTCATCTTTCCAAGTAACTGGGATTGCAGCCATGTGCTACCATGCCCAGCTAAGTTTTGTATTTTTCTTTCTTTTCTTTTCTTTTTTTTTTGAGACAGAGCCTCACTCTGTTGCCCAGGCTCGAGTGCAGTGGTGTGATCTCAGCTCACTGCAACCTCCACCTCCTGGGTTCTAGCGATTCTCCTGCTTCAACCTCCCAAGTAGCTGGGATTACAAGCACCCGCCACCACGCCCAGCTAATTTTTGTATATTTAGTAGAGCTGGGTTTTGCCCTGTTGTCCAGGCTGGTCTTGAATACCTGACCTCAAGTGATCTGCCCACCTTGGCTTCCCAAAATGCAGGGATTACAGGCATGAGCCAGTACTCCTGTTCTCATTCCATTCTTCACTATGGTACTGACCATCCATTTACTCAGCACCAATTGTGTGCCAGACCTTGTGTCAGCATTATGGAGGACTTCCCTTGGTAGGCTTGTTAGCTGTACTTGCAATCTGATTTGGATTCCCAAATCAGCATATAACACCAGGTATTTCTCTAATAGAGTATGTGCCATACTTTATAACTGCCTGTTTATCAATGTCCTCACCTCCCAACATCTGGTTCTTTCAAGGGCAGGGAGCACTGGGTATGGTGTCAGAGTGGTACTCAGTGATGTTTACTGGTGGGTAGAAAGAAGGGTTAGTCCCTGTTTTTGAAGACTTTATGTTCTAGCAGGGAGAAATGAAGCACAAATAGTCCAAGAAATAAACAATTTAGAAATAAAGTCATTTGGTTTGTTTCGCAGAAATGTCTTATTGCTGATTTGCCAGCTTGAGTGGCAAATATATAATAAAACCTGGCCGGGCGTGGTGGCTCACGCCTGTAATCCCAGCACTTTGGGAGGCTGAGGTGGG